CTCGCTCTCAATCTCATCCTTATTCCTTTAGTTAATTCATCTTTTAGGTTTTTTTTCAATATTCGAATTCGAGACATCAGCTAATGAAATGGACAAAAGTATCACAAATCGACAGCAAATTGCACTGGTTTTGTCCTTAAATGGATTTCGTTCAGAAACCCAACAGATGGAATAGACAAGTGGAGGAACTATTTGTTGTTTGGCTGTGGGGGCCCAATATTCCGTGCATACATTGAGTAGTGGAACATGGAGGCAACGACGGGCTTACTTTTGGCATGCATTGCATGCTTTGTTGTTAAAGGCACTGTTCTCTTCTGCATGTTGTTCATCAAGTACACAAAAGTGATTGACAACAAACTCATCAAACAGTCGATTCAGATGACCCCAAAAACTGCCCCCATAATTGGCTTGGGATTATTGAGGAATATATCAGATATATGTATGCTTTCTAGCTGGAACTTATTTTTACTTTTGATAAAGAATTTAGAATCAATTATAAATATATACGCATTATAATATTGGTAGATTAATAAAATCACTAAAAGTTTACACGCTGAAGAGATCCGTTTTTTCGGGTGGGCAGGTAGGATCCCTTTTTCTCTAGATGATTTATCAGACACTTTGCATTAGTTGCATTAGTTAAGCAAAATATAGAAATTAACAATCACAAAGTGTGATTAGATTGTTCGTTAAATGAGAGACAGTGGAGTTAAAGTTGGTAAAAATGAGAAATGTGAATGTGAACAATTACGCATTTAGGTCCAAACCCTAAAATTTCTTCTTTTGAAAAGAAAGGAAAAAAAAAGAAGCCTTAGATCAAACTGTGGGTTTGTTACAAATGTGTCCCCATAGACACACACATTGCTTTCACCAAAGTGCGTCTTGTCTGGAAGTCTCATCAACTTTGCACTCTTTTTTGACATAGATATTTGGCTTTCGTCCAATTTTGTTTTTTCATTCTTTTGCTCGAAAACCTCAACCTCAAATTTGGTTGTCTATATCCATGTTCAATGTTCTGTGAGTGATTTCACTTTAGTGTCGATCTATATTCAGTGTTTTCTTTTTCTTCTTTTGGGAAAAAAGGCAGATTCAACATCAAAGTCGACCAAACAGAACCCTCCTGGAAACTTAATGCATTGTACATTAGCATGAGAAAAAGGAGGGCTTAAAAAGAAAGAACAAACAATAAAGGTTGCAGTACGCTTGAAAGAAAAGCACGAAATAATATTAAAGATATGCAGCTTTAGCTAGCTTTGCTTGGATATATCCAGTTTTAATTTCTAGCCTTGTAAAAATAGATTTCAGTCTTTGAAGTTTACAGATTAATCAGAACCATTACGCGAGGCATTGCATATTAGATAGCAGGGATAATAAGGAAACAATTATACTTGGTATCGGATATTAATTTACAATACTATCGATAATGTCCTAGATAAGAAAAATTGGTATTCGATATCAGCCAATCACTCTCGTAGGTAATATTTTTCTTTTTTGTGTCTGATTAATTGACATGTCTGCACGTGATTGGAAATTTAGTAAAAAGATGGCCGCCCCTTGACTAGGGCAACTAGGGCCACCGCCCGGGCCCCACAGTTGAGAGGGGCACCAAAAAAATATTAGTCTATATATATGCATATGCAAAAAAATAAAATAAAAATAAGAAGTCCTCATAGATAATTGACATGTCTGCACGTGATTGGAAATTTAGTAAAAAGATGGCCGCCCCTTGACTAGGGCAACTAGGGCCACCGCCCGGCCCCCACAGTTGAGAGGGGCACCAAAAAAATATTAGTCTATATATATGCATATGAAAAAAAATAAAATAAAAATAAGAAGTCCTCATAGAAAAATAATAAAACTAAAAGTAAAGAGGTTCCCAAGAACCATATGGAGACTCTTGAAATCAGTCGAATTTTATTTCTGTTCTCTCAGAAACTATGTAAGATCCCACATCAACCAACGGGGAGGGGGTGATGTGCCTTATATGTACATGCCCGCCTCTATTTAGCACGAGGCATTTTGGGAGCTCACTGGCTTCGGAGTTATGGGAACTTCGAAGTTAAGCGAGTTGGGGCTAGAGCAATCCCAGGATGGGTGACCTACTGGAAAGTTGTTCGTGAGTTCCCAGAAAAAAAAATTGTGAGGCCAGAGAGGGGAGCCCAAAACGGACAATATCGTGCTACGGCGGAGCCGATTCAAGGATGTGACAAACTAAGTGCGAAAACAAAGCCATTTTGAGTTGGAAACTGATTGTTCTCTCCGATATTGGGAGTACCAGCACCAGAGCACAACATACAGAACCCAAAATACAGGTTTTATTGTTCTTTCTGAATTAAAATTATTAAAATCTTATTAGCGGACCATCATGGCTCAAGATAGACTAAATGGACTAGCAATATTATGCATTGAAAGAGATATGTTGGAAAATATTAAATATGATAATATAATTGATGATTTTGCTTCTAAAACTGCAACAAAAAGACATTTTAAATGATCTTTTGTGATTGGGATTTCATTGCTATTTTTATTTTGTAGGTGCATATGAAAGTGAAGCATGGGGACACATGCAAGTTAATTTGTTGTTGAATTTAATGTTTTTAATCGATTACTATTTTTCTTTCGTTTGATGTTTTGTTCCCATTGGGTTTTCCTCAAACAAGGTTTTAATAAGGTCCAAAGTGTTCTATATTATCGGTTTTTGTACTCCTATAATTTTAAAATATATATTATTATTTGATATAAAATTGTAATAATATTTATTATTTATTTATAAAGGGCACATTCTTAGACTTTGGCCTTGGGCCTTAAATCAACCAGGGCCGACCCTGAGTAAAGATACAATGTGGACGCCTAACTACTCTCTCTATATATATATATATTCTGTAAATAGTGCTGCTATTTCCACCTCCTTGTCTTATTTCTCCACCCACTTTATCTTCAAAATTTTAAGGACAAATTTACCCCTTTGTAAAAATGACTTTTAAGGACTTATGCCACCTCATTAAAATTTAATCCAATTAATTGGAATTTTTTCGAAATTAAAGAGAGAAAAAAACTCTAATGCAACTTAACAATTTGAACCTTAACTCTTGCCATCATTTACCTTTTTCTTTCTTTCTACTAGCCTCTCCGCATGCGCTCTCGCGCCTGCGAGAGGTTTTTTTTAAAATTTTTAAAATTTATTTTAGAATTAAAAAAGATAATGGGTAGTTGTGTTCCATAAAAATAGAATCCATTATCTGATTTTTCTTTTAATTTAAATTTTTTTAAAATGAAAAAGTGTGAATTTACCATATTAACTTCATTTAATTAATAATTTCAATTCTTAATGTTTGTATTAACCAAGGGCATTTTCTGGAATTTTGAATGTTTCATCATTCTCTGCCTTTTGCTTTATATATATAGATTTCCTATCTCTTCAACCTCTCCCCCTTTCCTGTTTGTTTTATTTGCAACATCTCCCCCCAATCAGTTTTTTTTTTTGGGTCAGTATCTACCCCAATTAGTTTAGTCTTCTTATTTTTTTTCTTCCCTAAATTAACCAAAACCCAAATAAATAAAAACGAAACCAAAAACAACAGAAGATGAAAAAGTACCCAGAATTGATGAGCTTTTTCACCAGCAGATGAAAAAGTGGAAATCCTCTGCTTTTAGATGAATTGACAACAAACTAGCAAATAATTAAAAGGGCAATTAGATTGCCATGTATTGTTTGTTTGCACTAATCGAAATCTTAATTTCGTAGAACACAAAAACAAAAGTCTAAGAAATCTTAATATCGTCTTTTTGTTGTTCGATGGCTTTTTCTATCTTCACTTAGGGGGGTGTATTCAATTAGGTTTGTATAAGATTTTGAAAGATTTTTTTTAAGTGACAGATTTCCTGGAATTGTATAACTCCTATAGGTTTTACCCGGATTTTTAATAAACTTGCATAAACTTTTATTATAGACTTCCATACTTTTATATGAACTTTTGTTATAGATTCAGATCAATTTGCATAGACATTATCACTTTTGTTATATGCAACAACAAAATCAAGGCTTTTGGGTTTGTGCATGGTTGGTGATTAAAGAATAAGGGTGATAGAGCCGAAGATAAGCTAGGAAGTGTGTCAAGGTTCAGCTGATTTCATGCAGAAGATTAGGCTAAATTCTTGGTTGAAAAAGGTGTTGAATTTTTTAGGCAATTCTAATTCTACGGCTGCTGCCTTTGTGATCAAGACAGCTCTGCCTTTCCCAGGCCCCACCTTGGGGATCAACTCTTTCCCGCAACAAATTATTTTGAGATCACAATTTTATACGAACAGTAACAAACAATAATCATCAATGAATATTAACAAACAAGAAAAACCATGGACGAAGAAGGAAAACCAACAAGAATATTGAGAGAGCGTACCTTTGGAGGATGGTTCGTCTTCTTCAGAGAGAAAAAAAGAACACGTCGTCTGAAATCTTTGGGGTGGAGATTGGACTTATGTTGGCCTTTATTACTTATACCTAAACCCTACAAATTCTCCAAACTCCAACACTTAATTAAATCCTTCCAAATCTATCTCCTTTTGAATACAGGTAAATTTAAATGGACTTTTTCCAAGTCCTAATTGAATACACCCACATTTAACTGGACATTTTAAAAGTTCAAACAAGTCTAGATTGAATACACCCAAACTGTTATAGACTTTTTAAAAGTTTATATAAATCCAAATTGAATACACCCGGATTTTTAAAATCTTTTTAAATGCTTTATAATCCTAATTGAATACACCCCCCTTAGTTTCTTTTTATATGTTATTTTCTTTTAGTATTCCTAATTTACAAGCAAATAGAACTATTTCCAGAGTGGTCTAGATTGGCTTAGGTCTTTGGTGTGCTTCAAAGTGGTCTGGATTTAAGCCCTCGTAGTATGTGTGTGTGAGTTTTCCTCCCTCGCCCTATTTTCAGGGTTTAGCAGATCAATGAGAAATCGTTGTTTTTTTTTCCCAAGAATCAAATACTTTTATTAAAGGCGAACACGAACATTAGCATCTCCAGCTAAGGTATTAAACAACCAATCTGGAGGTACAAAATCCCAATAGTAACTACCACCTACCCTACACGCAAAAGTTGCAACCTCATGAGCAGATTTGTTGCAGCTGCGAGGTGCAAAAATAAAAATTACTTCTTGGAATTCTCGAATTGCAGTCTGGATGTCGAAGAGAATACTATCTACCTCTATATCCATCGCCATCTCCCCCTTCACCATCTTGATGGCAACTTGGGAATCCGACTCCACCACCACCTGAGAGAAACCCCCTTGATGACAAACAAGCAGAATTGCCCTTATAGCGTCCATCTTCGCCATGAGAGCCAACCCATAAAGCATATCTCCTTGACCACCCGCTTGCATCATCCAACCTGGAAAGTCCCAAATCACCCATCCAAAACCTCCCCGCATTGTTTGCTCAAACCAAGCACCATCACAATTTGCTTTGACCATTCCGTGCTTGGGTTTTTGCCATAAGGTCTATGCAGCCTTACACAGATCGAGAGGTCTCGACAACTCATTCACAAGGGGAGCCTGACTTGGAACCACCATAGGATATTCCTCCACTTGCCCCACCATAAATGTAACTGCATTTCTAGATTCGCCATAGGCCATAGACCAAAATCTATAGTATCTCCCATGATTGTGCATCCGTTTTCTATTTTTCCTCCAGATAAGCCCAACATGAAGCAAAATCGATACCCACTATAGTAGTAGTATCCGGTTGCTTTAGTTGCTTCAAATTGTATATACAATCGCACTGCGAAAAATAAAATATAAACAGAAAACTAATTACTTGCTTAATTACACTAAAATTAATTTGAACCTAGCTAAGCTTCTATCACTTCCCCATCCAATCCCAATATATCACATAAATTAAATCTCGCAAGAAATTTACATCGGTGTTTGAGTGCATTCAAGGATTTATGACATCGAAAGGTCACAAATCAAGGCTCGGGATCAATTAAAGGCAATAATAATTAAGCCTGTGTGGCCGCCGACCACAGTAATTTATCCTTTGGTTGACAAAAGGTGGATTTACTTGCGGCAGTCGATCGACACCTTTTGTTTCTTTTTATTCCACTATAGAGCAAGAGACACACTAATTAGTAACATAATGTTATAGTATTCTATTAACTTTTGAACTGACAATCTAATTTATCATCTTTTTAATAAAAGCAAGACTCATTCATTCGTGTTGTCTTAACATAGAGAGTTTCGATGCAATAGTTAATAGCAGTTATCCCTACACGCAAGGTCTTGTGTTCAAATCCCTCTTCTAATATCGCTTATATTATATAGAAGCTCAATGTCATTGCCAAATAAATGATGCTACCAATCGCTTTAAGAGAAAGAGAGGTGTAGATAGCTATATAACCTTTTGCTTTATTAATGATGTAAAAATTATTAACTGACATAATACTTGACCAATATTCGTTGTTAAATAATGATAAGAAGTAAGTGTACATGAAACTGAAATCAAAACAAGAAGGCTGTCATGGCCTGCCACAAAGTCACCCCCGCCATAATCCACTGGCTAAAAGCCCTGCGATGTGCTTCCAAACAAGTACTTGAAATTCTGAAGTGATACCCTGCGAAACATGGAGAATACTTTTTTAATTAGATTAGACAGAGAATGAATTAAATATAATGTGGTTAGGTATGCTTAGACGCAAAAGCAAGCATGTTTAAGTTTCATAAGTAAGAAGTCTTTCATCAACTAATGAGAAGTCAAAATAGTAATTAACAAATTTATCCTCTCTCGATCGATCGATCACCTCACAGTCATCACTCACCCTTCTTCTACCCTCAGGACATTATAGTCCGACCCTCATGTATCTTTGTCAAAGTTCAAATCAATCAAGCAAAGCCACGTCTTGTTCATGTTGGATAAATCATGACAATATATTTGTCCAATCTGACTAAGAGACGTGAGAACGCTTCTCAAAGATGATTGGAGTTAAATAAGGGGAAAAAAAAAACAAGATAGAGTCTCCCGCACTCGTGCAAGAAGTTAGTTTAAACCTTATCTTGTGTGTCTTTGAGAGCTTGTAACTAATCAGCATGGGCGTAGAAAAATTAATTACATCAAACTCTTCTCAAGATGCTTAAATAAGAAACTCCAAAATATAGAATAATAGAAGATCAGAAATAACGCTTGTTAAATGTTAATTACTAATGATGTACACGACAATGTCCTTTTTTCTAAGAGAAATAAATACAAGTGATATTAGGAGATGGGGAATTGAACTTTAGACCTCGGGTGCACAGGGTATAAATGGTTTTATCATACCAATAAATGAACTAGAATTCATTTAATTCAATAACTGTAGATCTACATTTAACCATTTTTTACTAATTGGATCCGGATTAATCTCTATTTATATTTCTGGAAAGAATCAACACTTTGAAAATAGTTCAAGCATCAAACTTGAAGTTGGGTTAATATCTAATTTTCTATTTAGTATTTTAGTTTGAATCATGTCCAACACAACACGATCATTGACAAATTGAGCGGCATCGATCTTGCCATGCTTGCTTGCGAGGCTACATTAGCTAGAGGAGATACAAGTCTCCATCATTGTAGCTGGAGGACACAACTTAATTAGTACTCGATTTTATGATCATATGCAAGTTGCATGTCAATTCTTTTGTCAATGCACTATTTTGGCCGTGATTTTCATAGGCAAGTTCCATGCTTATTAATATTTAAGTGGAGCGAGTTATATATTAACCTTGATTAATTAGATTTTTGGTTGACATTGCTCGATGTTGGACAAAACATGGTGATATTTTTTGTTTATGATACGAAAAACGTGGTGATATTTTTTGTTTTTTGAATACGAAAAACTTGGTGATATTGGGGTGCTGTGATATATGGTTTTTTTTGCTAGAATAGGATCGCTATGATTTTGTAAGAACACAAGTGAAAACCAATACTTAAATTAGTTTGATCTCTCAGAAATATGACAGTAATTTTGTTCCTTAATTAACCATTAGGGAGGGTTAGGGTTAGAGGTTGGGGAGATTTATGTAATTTCCCCTAAGTAGAGTATGAAATCATATGGCTGCCACACCCACAATGTTAAAACATCGGCCCACACCTTTAATTTAGCATCCATATGTGAAAGTGCTCGTGATATGCTTCCAAACAAAAGAGAAACCTAGTTGTTAATCACTGTCATATTAACTTGTAACTTACATAATCCCCACCTAATTATATCAAAATCGAGTTAACACAGAGGAATAGTGAGCACGTGCACTAAAATCCATGCAACTAAATCCCACACACTTACCTTAAAATAAACAATTAAACACACATGAAGCATCACAACATTACACCAACACATTTGTACAAATTGTTGGCAGATATATAAAAACAGGAGAGCATTACAACTCTCTGCAACGCCTCGTCCCTCAACTTCAAGAAAGCTGAGAATCGAAAGCAAAGAGACAAACGATACGGTGGACAAACAAACAAACATATCTATATATCAGTGACAATTACATATGGCACATAGATGCCCACAGAATTACTTAGAACTTATTGCACAGACGCAGACCCACTTGGATTCAAAACAAAAGAAAACCCAAAGAAAATACACTTTTAAAAGCTATAGCTACGATGATCAACAAAAGAGAAAGGGGCCCTGTCCTTATAGAAATTAGAAATTTTTTCTTCTTCCCCATTTGAACTTATGTAGTACTACTGCACTTAACGACGTCGCTCTGGGGTCCAGTGCGGTGCACTTGGGCTAAAGTGCACCGAGACGACTCTAGAGTCCAGGAGTTCCATGATGGGTGAGAAGTTCACGCACCTTGGTGCCTTGTACTGGTTGATAGACGCACCTCTAGAGATTGCATAGTCCATGAGTTCCTCAAATGTCCCGTTTTTCACCACCCTTATCTCAAGTGGTCCAATTGAATTGTCAGCCACTCTGCCTTGTCTGTAAACCGAGTTCAACGACTCTTCCATGGCCAGACAACACTTGTCCAGGACCTCGTGACTCGGGGAATTATTCGCCGGGTCCTTCACAAGCAACTCCCAGTAAATCACATAATGTCCTGGGATTGTCTTGGTGTCAGCAAAGCTCGTGTACTCAACCACGCTCGTGTTGAACTCTCTCAGCAATACCGACGCGTTGTCGATGGCTTTCTGCAGCTCAGCCTCATCGGTCTTGTCCGCGTCAATGCTCAACAAGACGTTCTTCCTCCTCACAAACCTAAACTGAGGCGCCGCGTTGTGGAAGCCTGTGACCTCAAGAATGTCACCCACTCTGTAACGGCACAATCCGGCGTAGGTTGTTATCACCAGCTCGTACTCCTTCCCGACTTCCACGTCAGCAAGGTCGACAAGGCGGGGAGGGGAGTGTTTGGACAGAGGAGGAGCGGAAGGGCCGTGCGGGATGAACTCGAAGTAGGCCATGTTTGGCATAATTGTGTAAGATACCTCAGAAGGCTTACACATTGGCTTGAGGTTAAGCCCAAAGTAACATTCGGAGGAGGCGTACATAGTGCAAGCCAACGGCAAGCCATTGCTGTAGTAATCAAGGGTGGGGATGTACTGAGCCATTGCACCGGTGACGATCACATCCAGGTACTTTGTGTTTGGCCAAATCCTTGGGATTATGCCTTCCCAATTTTCTTCACAACACTCCTGTATGATGAAACTGGACAGCTCCGGATCCGGTTTTAATGTCCCGGACATGGATTCACGGAGAGAAGGGTCGGTGATTTTAGGGTTTAGGGTACCATTGTGGATGTCATGGGCTAATTGGCGCCAGTTCAATTGCAGGAACCGAATTGCTCTGAGTAGGCCGGAGGCAAACACCGCACCTACTCGAAGCACTTTGTGGCGCATGACGAGGCCACAAACCATTTGGGTGTACATGCTCTGGAATGAGTCTGCGCAGAGGATGGCCTCGTTGGGGCTGGTGTAGTCGTTGTAGGGGTCATATGGCCTGGTCTTGAAGTGCTCACTCTTGTAGTAGCTTGTCAATACCGGACGTGCCACGAGCCCCCCCGGAGTCTTGCTCTCCGCCTTCACGAACAAGAAGTAGAGCCCCTTGCCCTTGTCCAGGTCCGGGACATAACTGTCACATTAAAACACAATTCAAACTCATCAGAAAGTAGTAAATCGCGTTAATTAAAGAACAAAAAAAAAAGGGACTAATCACTTTGTGAAAAATAAAAGCGAGTTTTAGTGGAACAGATCTCAAGAAGTTCGATTTTCTTTACAACAAAAAAAGAAAGAAAAGAAAAGTAGAGAAATTAGGAATGAAGAAAAGTTTACAGGTTCATCACTGGCATAAGCAAGCTGTATAGCAGCGTACGACGGTCCAACTCTTCATGAATTGTAGGCATTAGTTTTCTTTCACCAGCAGAAGTCCCAGAACTGCATGCAAATAAAAACCATTAATTATTCTACCATACTAAAAAAAAATCCTAACAAA